TATAGGTCGTCCTATAAGGCTTCTTAAGTAATATGGATTTATTGAAAACATTAATGAGAAATAGATTTTTAAATAGGCTTTCAAGTCAAACCATACTTTTAAGAAGGTCAGGCCTAACCTATTTTCACCCCTACTTGCAATGTATCTATTGTCAAGTACTTCAATCACTCTAATAATGTACTTTCATCATTGAACGCAAGACTTAATACTAATTAAGTGTGAGTTGAGTTTCCACCATTGATGATTAATTAGATATGTGTTTGTTTCACATCCCTTAATGATGTCTTCCTTTTATTCAATTATATTCAAAGACATCATATCCTTGTAAATTCTTTTGTCAAAGAATCGCAAAAAAATTCAAACTTTAATAAACATTGAAAATCAATCTTTCAAATAGTCATGCATATGATTACTTTGTGTACTCTTGATAGTTTTACTAACTATCATCAATCCATGACATTTTTGTCATTTTAGTTCAGTTATTATATACAAAATAAATATATATTCTTGATAGTTTTGACAAATTATCACCATGACACTTTTGTCATATACACGAATTATATGTTATTCTTCATTTGTTAACCCTTTCAATTTGAAGTTTTACTTCTACATAAACATATCTAAAATATATTTAATGCATAACAATCAACAATCATAATCATAAGAATTTGTGATGTTCCTTTTCCTGATGATCTTTATAATAAACTAGTATGATACCCGTGCGTTCGCACGGGTACCGGTCTGACAGTCTCATTGAATTTAGCAGAGTTCATTTTAAAAGAAAAAATAATTAAATATTATAATATTATCTATAATAAAAAATAATTTAAATAAAAGCTATTTTGTATTGTTAGTTTGTGCAATGAGTATAAAACAATAAAATGGAATAGTTTTAATTAAAAAAATAATATAAAATTGAAATAGTAACAAAAATATATCATTCTTATTTATACCATTTATACTATTTCACTTGAGTATAAAGTGCAAACACATATAATTCTTAATTAAAATATTTAGCTAAGATATATTTAATTTCCAAACTAAATAATTATATATTTAATATGTTATAAATTGAATAGACAATTAATACTAATTATTTAAAAACTGGTTTTAGACAAAAAAAGAAAAGATATTTTTAATACTATATATATGGTTTCTATTATAAAATATTGTTGTTAAGTGAATCTTTAAGGTTGAATCCAAATGGTATTTTCTCAAAAGATGCATATCTGCTTAAGATTCATAATAAATAAGTTCAATTGGAAATACATTGTTAATGACAGAGGATTATATAAGTTTTTAGTTATCACCATTCCATCACTACATCAGAAAAAAGTTTGTACAGTGATACAAAATTTCTCACTACAGTTATAAGTTCATTATAAGTTCCTATCTTATATCATTTTTTCTTATATTCTTGTTCAATTTTATGTTACAAAAAAAAACTTAATATTTATGTTCGTTAAAGAAAGTTTGTACAATGATACAATATTTCTCTCTACAGTTTGATACATAGTTTGTTTAAGTGATTGTTAATCGAAGTTGATGAATAATTATCTTGGGATAAGAAGATGATTGCAATGTCCACCTTCACAATTGCCAGAACAATCACGATCAAGAAGCAAACATCCCTCTATTTCTTCATAAATTGATGGATCAAGTGGTTGGTTATCAAAATACCATGTATCAACAGATTCATTGCTAGTGGAACATCATAGGTCCAAAACTTTCATTACATGATTAAACGCATCTTTGTTATTCGTAACAATTTCGTTGCATGAAATTGTATATCCATGTTTATAATCTATACTATGCATAAATGTTGATTTATTTCTCAAATACTTTCATCACATGATTAAATGCATCTTCGTTATTCGCAACAATTTCGTTGCATGAAATTTTATATCCATGTTTATAATCTATACTATGTATAAATGTTGATTTATTTCTCAAGTTTTTCAAACTTCAATACAACAAAACACATGTATCCGGAAAATTTATTCTCCAAATTGAGTTAGTGTCCTAATTGGATTGAAAATGGGTTAGTGCTATTCAATTCAAACTTAGTATGATAAGGTTGTACGTATTAAAGACAGAGGTAGTAACTTATCACTCTGTAGAATGCAATATAAATGCTCCAAGATATTGAATAATATTAATGCTCCAAGAAATAGATATTATTACAGTGAGAACTCCACTAAAAGATGTACTTTACTATTTATGATAGCAAATTATCAATGTGTTACTTATCACTGTAAACACACTAAAAGTAGTAACTTATTACTGTAGTAACTTATCATTGTGTTACACTTTTAAAGTTCTACTAACTTATCACTATTTTCCAATTGATTGACTGCTTGAGATTTCATATGAGCAGCCTGTTTTATACCATGAAAATTTGAGTGACTGTTGATCAATGAGTTAGTCTTAGGTATAGATGGAAATGTTACTGAATTTGTGTTCTAAGTGTTCATCATAGACCTAGAAGATGCCACAGATCCATAAAAGTTCCTAGAAGCAAAAGGGTCAACATTATTTAGTTCATATCCATCATCTGATAATAAAATTGTTACCCATTATGACAGATGTCAATTTCTAAGGCCAAAAATTATACACATACACCCAGACAGATAGACATACCAACAAATAATATTAATATTAACTAAAAAAGGTGATACAACTAAACTAAGTAAGAAAGATTACCCTGCACTACTGGTTTGTGATTATGGTCATAACTTGAGGCATGGCCATCAAAAGTGCCTGGTTCATTAGCAAGTTGGACATTGTTACCAATCAAGCTCAGCCCACTATTTATAGCACCATGATGATTAATAATGGTGATTTGATGAAAGTATTTGAACCACTATTTTATCATTAAACAGAAAACTTAACAAGCCAATTGAATCACAAAATTGCGGAAAATGTAAAGAGATAGAGAGAAAGAAAAATAATACGCAAGTAGTTTGGTAAGGAAGTTCCCCATTGTCATCCTCGCGTGTGGATACGTCTCCCTCTTAATTCCAAAATTGAAATTGAGAACTCTTATATCAATTTTGCTGAAAGTTTGTATACAAGGTTACACTACAAAGACAAAATGAAATCCCTATGATCTTCTTCTTCTTGTAAGAACCTGCACTTGGTATGAGCCTATCAAATTCCCTGCAAGATCCACAATCAATCCTCCGCTTCCACGACCTGTTTGCAAAAATCCCTCTGATTTCTAAATCCCTCGCTACGGCTGAATCTGACTTGTGCGAACGTGACTAACAAACCATCAAGAACACACCAGTTATTGAAGGACAAACCCTTGGTTTTTCCTCGAAGCCCCCTTATGAATCTTCAACCCAGCTGAGATCCCTTGAATGAACAGCTGAACGTTATCTCTTGATCCAATTGAACAAAGATGTTTAACTTTCATTGTTGTTGTTGAATTAAGATGATTGAGAAGATGATGAAGATGAAGTATCTTTCAGGCTTCTTTTTGCTCAGTAATTGATGCTCACAATTGTAATAATGTGTCACACCTGATTTGCTATTGAAAACTTACTTATATGTGTAATAGAAAACAGTTATAAACAAGAATTTGCATTATGAGTCGATACATGTTAGCATGAGTCGACTCATGTTAGTTATACAACATAAAATGAGTCGATGCAAGTTGTTATGAGTCGATGAAAACTGATACTACAACATATTACAGAGCCAACCATTTTACGTGAGTCGATACATAACACGTATGTATCGACACATACTGAATTGAATTTTGATTTTTGAAGATAAAACGTGTTATGTGTCGATGCATGGAGTTATGTATCGATGCATAAAAGTTGAAATTTGTTTTCCAAGGACATCAACATATCATGTGTTGATGCATGAAGTTATGTATCGATGCATAAAGGTTGAAAATTGTATTCCAGGAGCATCAACATGTTATGAGTCGATGCATGGCATGGAATAGTCGACTCATACTGAAGTAGAATCGTTTTTATGATTCTTTGCTTAAGTATGTGTCGATGTAAAGCTCTTTGTGTCAACTCATAACAGTGTTTTATGTGTAAAACACATTCTTAAATATTTTTAAACATGGTATACTGTATTTTTACAATGCACACATATAGGTAAAGCATTTTCAACATTCATTGATTATTTCAAACATATTTGCTATTATTCAAAACTAATTAAATGAAGGGGTTGCTCACATATGTTATTGTGCATTATTTTCTTTAGGCTTTAGTGTGTGTAGTACATGAATTTGTAACCTCACAATTCAGTATATTTAGGAATTACTATTATGCATCTTCTGTCAAAAAAAATATATGTTGTTCCCTTTATATTTCTTAACACACACCAATTTTGTTTGATTAGTATACCATTTAAATTCGACATTCAATTTTGGACTGTTGAACATAACATTCTCTGTGTAATAGTTTGTAGTAAAACATAACCCTTTTCTGACATTAATTGAAAAACATAACTCTTTGAAAAAAATTAAAAGCTAAATATTGTAATAAAATATAGGTTTTATAGCAATATTTTGTTTCATAAGAACACACTGCATTTCATGTCAGTGTTACTTAGACGATACCTTCAATACATTGGATAGCATAAATTCACACTACTTTATTTATGCCTCATGTTACTGTCATACTATATAACTATAAAACATCCTGTTGAACTCATGTTGTTACTTTTGCTATTATAACATCAATTATCTAGATATTTTACCGCACAATGATTACCATATAAAAATCCATATAACCAAAGTTTAAATATTTCATAACATACAATACTTACTAAATACTTGACCGTAAGCAAGTCAGATGTTCAAACTGCACAAATATAAAGACACGTAGTAAACATAAACAAAAAAAACACACAGATGATCCTTCTTTTTCATTACATATCCAACACAATCTGTTTCACTGTCTCTTCTTTCCCGGCTCAACATATAACAGTATTTCATTGGCTGGAGGATATCGAATGCAAAAATGCATGATGTCTCATTTCTTTAATTCTTCCTGTTTAGCAAATTCATACCAACCAGTCATGAGATACTTCTCGCCTTCATAATTATTCCTCACTTTAACTACACAATTCTCTGAGATACCCTTCTCCGAACCATATAACTCAATCGAGCTGATCGGTCCACTAAGGGACTTCTTAATCACTCCACGCGGTAGTTGCTGAAAAACAGATTCATAAATTAGATGATGTTCAACCCTGAAAAAGATAAATATATCGTTGCAACAATTAACTTCTACTGCTTACCAACACATTCCTTCTCATAACATTAGCATTAGATATAACCCTGCTCCATGTTTCTTCATTTTCTTCGACATATATTGGAGTGAATTTCCTGATTCAAGCACAAACTAAATATATGCATACTAAGGGGGAATTGATTCTCTGAATCTATCACTGCTTCTTGACTGCAACGACCAAGTCTTCTCCCCATATTTGACCATACATGCATTTATAATAGGAACATTGACATATTTAAGGGGATGAGTGTTCCATGATCGGTAAATAACATAAACTGCAATTGCTAGCTGGTAGAGTAACTACAACATATGTCGTGGCCATAGTTGGTTTTCCTCAAGGGAGTATGTAGGGAAACCATTTCAACTAAAGTACAGGAAGAAACTCAATTCAGCAGTTCCGGTAAAACTAAATTTGTTTCTATACAAAAAGTCTTGACAATATATTTTAGCACCTCATTTCATTCATCATTTACAATCTCATCCAAAAGACACTATTTAAATGATTTTAAATAAGTCTTGCCATTGTAAATGCTCAAGTTTTTATAAACAAAAATCATACTTAAATCAAGGATACCTAACTGGCTTGATTAGTTAAGTATTACTAAACTTAACATGTACAAAGTATGAGGAAAGAAAGTTGAGCATTTAATTAAAATAAATGTATATTTCAGAACAAATGACAATGACATGATTAAATATCTCTTTAGAAAGTTGCTACTTACTTGCTAGCAACTTGCAAGCTAACAAATAGGCAATTTCTTGAAGGAAAACTCATTAGATGACACAAAAGGCTAGATAAGCAGGAAGTCATGCATGACATGAAATATACATAGTCAAGGAAAAATCAAGAAAACTTTAAAGACTATATCAACAAAAAATTTATTAAAGAAGTAATCTGCATACAATAGTCAATTTCTTGAAGGAAAACTCATTAGATGACACAAAAAAAAATTGAAGAAAGGCCCTGATATTGCATGTTGATCATGACGACCCTTTTGAATAGCCACAATAGTCAAGGATGTGGCTCATGATATATTTGAACCTATTGGCCAGTACTGATATTTTATAATTTATAGTGTGATGACACATGTCAGTTATTAAAATTCTATTATGGGTCTATCTTCTTCCTTTTTACTGCCTATGATTTTTTAAATCTTTATCATCATATTGTATCTCCTACCTTCATATTTTCATATAGTCAATTTGAGAAATTATTTAAAATATCCAGAAGAAGCTAAACTATCAGTAGAGGCAAAGGATCTTATTAGTAGACTTCTATGTAATATGGAACAGAGGATTAAAACTAGAGAGGCTGATGTCATTCGTAATGTGAAGATAGTTGTGCATAGTGTGTATTTACCATTTCCGTATGTCAATCCTGTTGCGGCTGCTTATGACTATCTTAGGAGGTGAAGGACAAGGAGCATCGGAAGGAGCGACAACTATATCAGATGTTGCAGGTTTGGTGTCAGATGAAACATGTTCTGCTCTTGATGGACGTGGAGGTTGTGTTGCTGGCTTCACTACTGTGGGCATGTCTCCCATGCCTCAGGTCGAGCCAATGATGGAGATTGAAGATCACCATGCCTCTTGGGAAATTTGTAGTTTGTTCACATTGTTATCCATCTACTGTATGCTGAATGGTTCTATAATAAAACTTTTGTTGATATAGTCTTTAAAGTTTTCTTGAGACTATCTTGATTTTTCCTTGACTATGTATAGCCTTTTTTTGTGTCATCTAATGAGTTTTCCTTCAAGAAATTGACTATTGTATGCAGATTACTTCTTTAATAAATTTTTTGTTGATATAGTCTTTAAAGTTTTCTTGATTTTTCCTTGACTATGTATATTTCATGTCATGCATGACTTCCTGCTTATCTAGCCTTTTGTGTCATCTAATGAGTTTTCCTTCAAGAAATTTCCTATTTGTTAGCTTGTAAGTTGCTAGCAAGTAAGTAGCAACTTTCTAAAGAGATATTTAATCATGTCATTGTCATTTGTTCTGAAATATACATTTATTTTAATTAAATGCTCAACTTAATAAATGTTGATCATGACGACCCTTTTGAATAGCCACTGCATTGGACTCTTTCTTCCCATTGTGGGGAATTTTCTGAGCATTAGAGGGTGTAGCTCCTTGGATCTTTCCACCTTTGATGCCAGCTTCGACCCTTTCACCGGTCAGTACTAGCTCAGTGAACCCAACTGAGGAGCTTCCAATTAAGTGATTGAAGAAAGGCCCTGTCAAAGTTCCCATGAAGATGTCAATCAACTCTCTGTCAGTTAAAGGAGGTTGCACCCTACCAGCTAAATCTCTCCACTTTTGGGCGTATCCTTTGAAGTTCTCGTCAGAACCCATGGTCATGTTCTGCAATTACACACGAGTCGGTGCAAGATCAGCATTGTACTGATACTGTTTGTAAAAAGCCCTAGCTAAATCTTCCCAGGTGTGGATGCGAGAACTCTCCAATTGATAGAACCACTCGAGTTGAGTCCCTACCAGGCTTTCTTGGAAGAAATGGATCCAAAGCTTTGGATCAGTTGTGTATGGTTGAATCTTGCGGACATAAGACTTTAGATGCATCTTAGGGCAAGAGACTCCATCATACAGGGCCAAGGTAGGGACTTTGAACTTTGGAGGGATGACCAATCCAGGAACCAAACCCATGTCTCCTAAATCCAAGCCAGGTATTTGTTGAACCTCCATAGCATTGAGGCGATCCTCCAACTGTTTGTATTTATCATCAGCGGAGGATATTGTTCTTCGGAGTAACCAGCTTCATCAATCTCCAAATTGTGGTCTTCTTCAAGACTGACCCTCTTGTCTTTGAGAAGGAGAGCTTTCAGATCCTCTTGCCCTTTACCCATAGCCAGAAGCATTTGCTGGAATTGAGCGTTTTGAGCTTGGAGATCTTTCACCGTTTGTTCCATATCCATCTTACTGAAATAAACAGTAGGAAGATAAGGAAACCTGTATGGGAGAAACCTGTCATGCAATGATATGTATGATATATATATGCAATGTTTTCAAGGATCTCTTGGGGTAAACACAAGAGAATGTTAGAGGTTGAACTTCGATCTTTGATTGGAGAACTTTGCACCGGTGGATGTCTTTCCACGAGAATCAAGCTCACCATGTCAACTGGGTCATAGCCCCTGATTCAAGTTTTTGCACTTGATCTTTGATGGCATTTGTTTAGAGGAGAAAACCTCTTTCCCCTTGGTAGACGTCTGGTTCAACGTGACCCTGCATCAAAAGACCCTCGAGATCCTTGAAATGGTTAGTGAAAAAAATTCTATGGTATGATGTTATGTACATGTATGCAAAAGCAAGTAAGTGTATATACAGGTAATCATATTCACACAAAGCAAACAAGTCCTTAGGTTTAGGCTTGCATGGGGTTTGTAGGTAAGTACCCTCTTGAAGTTAGTTGGCTCATCCCATCCTAAAATAGAAACCGGGTTCTAAGGAGCTCAATATCATTGGATTGTTTTCTGTGTTCATTGTTTTGGTTTAGCCACTTAACTGGCGACCAAAATATTCCAAGAAAACAACCCTCAATGAGTGTAGTATCGAGTATCTACCAACTTCGGACTGCACCAAAGTCGGTCATCTCACTACCCATAAAAAGGCTAAGATGGTCAATTAAGGTTCTAAGAGTTTGTTAGTGCTTCATGACATCACTCAGCGGCCCCGTACTCTCCTTGATTGAACTCAAGGGTTACCGGTACTCACAAATATGTCACACTAACATAGCTTACTGCTTCAACCATGTCGGTATACCCCGCATAGTTCCCTCACAGTTTTATTGCTATTTACCTAAGAAGGTGCCCCAAATCCGGGTGTAGGATTTACAAAAAACCCAAACAAGGACCCAAAAAGTAAAGCAATCAGGGCAATCAAAGCAAGTATGTAAAGGTGATCTAAAAACCTAAGGTAACCCCACTTTTAAATTTTTCCCCAGCAGAGTCGCCAGTTCTGTGATACAGTGGGATAACTGACTTGAGTTTTGCGTTTGTATTCGCACTTGTTCGGTTTAGCAAGAGTCGCCACCGACTTTTTATTTTATCCTAAAGGAAAGGTTAAAAAGCACAGGAAAAACCTTTGAGATGTTTTCGTGGGTTCGGGGGGTAGATTATAGAAAGGGAAGGTATTAGCACCCTTTCTATCCATGGTTATCCATGGGCTCTTAGTTACTTGTTTTAGATCACTTTGCCTTGATTTTCAATTGTTTGAAATGGTGCTTTGTGTCTGTGGTTTTGAAAATGTTTTGAAAAAGATGCCTTGTCTAGGCAACCCTTGTAACAATTCTTTACTCGAATGTTTTACAAAGGTGTTTGTCTTTTCGAAAAGATGTTTCAAAGTTTTTTGAAAGTTGCTTTGAAAGTTTTGTTTGTGGAGTGTGTTTTGAAAAGTAGGCAAGTGTGTTTTGCAAGTTTGATCAAGTAACTAAGAGTTGTCTACCCCTAAATTTACTCAAAGATTTTTCTCATGTTTTAACCCTTTTAACAGTATTGTTCCACCATTGTATTTGGTGGACAATCTTGTGTTAGGATGTTAACGGGACGGGCGCGGGTCATTGTTTAGACCATGAATGCAATAGTGCCAAGTGTCTTTGGCAATTTGCTTGAAGGGACTATGATCATTTTGTAGGCAACTTCGAAAGCGTCATCGAGGGACTATGATCATTTGATTTGTTTTTGTTTTTCCAAAGAAACTCAACATGCAAGCATGGCCCATTTTTGAAGGCAACAAGCGGGATTACCCTAGGGGTGCAAGTGTGAATTGTGTATTGATTGTCATGCATTTGTCTTGTATTAGGTTATCCAGCGGTTGATTTTAAATCTTCGCATACAAACCCTAATTATTATACAGTATATAGAAAGCGATAAATTGCGGGAATTTAAAGTCTAAGCTATTACAAATAAGTATCCGGGGATGGGGGTACAAATATTTACAAATGGGGATGAGACTTATTAGGAGAGTAGTGTCCAAATATATTTACAACCAAATCGAATCGCAATCTCAATGTAAAATGTAGCAATGTATAGGAATCAAAGAGAAATAAAATGTGTATTGTAAAATGCGTATGTGATTTATTTACAAGTGATAAAATGTGAACCTAATGTATTATTAAGCGTTTATTTATTTTTGGGTTTTTGTTAAATATGTACAAACAAATGTTCTAAAGAAAAATGTTTTAAGTTAAAGAAAATTAATATTATTTTTTTGTATTTTTGTTTATATACAAAGGTTTTTTTTTAATTGAAAAAAGTTCTAAAGAAAAAAATTGTTTAAACCTAATAATAAAAAAAATCTAATATTTACATTTTAAGTATGATAAACAATATTAGTAAGATTTTTACAAAAAAGAAATTAATGTATTATTTAATCAAAAGAGAAATAGTTTATGAAATTGAAAAGGTGTTGATTTTAAAAAGTATAACAAATTATATGGGCCTAAATAAGGTTCTTAGCCCAAGGAAACAAAAATAAAAAAGGGTAAGAAAAAGAAAGGGGGGTCAGGCGCCAGAAGTTTGGGCTTAGGGGTTTAGAAAGGGCAAGGCCCAGAACACGTTTTTGACATTTTGTAAGGGTTCGTTTAGGTTTGGCTCAAACTAGGGTTACAGAGGCGCCGCTTCCATCTTTCTTCATCCTCTTCACTTTCTCAAACGAAGTTTTCTGAACACCTCCGCTCATGGCCACTAGGCGCCACCGTCCATCTCTTTCTCCCTCCATGGATTACTCAGGTAGTGATGACACAAATGTATGATTTCTACTTCTAACCATTCTTAGGGTTTTCATATTTGCATGATTAATTAGTTCTATGTGTTCTGATCTTGATTATTATTATTTTCTGTATGAGGTGTGAAAAGAAAAAAAAGAAAAGGAGTTATACCTTTGGGGTTCGTTGCTTGGAGAGGAGGAGAGGTGGACTTGGAGGCACGTCTCAGGCGGCCAGGCGGAGGGAGTATGAAGCCGTGAGCTTTGGAAATCTGGTATTCAGTATCTTTCTTTAGGTTTTATGATGATTGTCTTCTGAAAACCCTAGCATAATTTTCTTTTCCACTTCTGTCTGCTTGAATGCTTTCCCCTGAAATACTTGCTTCTGTATGTTTATTTGATGATTGGAATCTGAGTGTTGTTTTCGTTGGAATGTTTGATTATGAGCTTGCCTTGAGCTTTGATTGCTAACCCTGTGATGAATTTATTCTGAGGGTTTAGGACTTAGGTTATGTTTGTTTTGATTGGTCTATGCAGGCTTTGTTTGAGATTACAGGCTTGCTGCGATTTTTGCTATGTTACAGTTTGTATGGCCTTTTCTAGTGTAGGCTTTTTGATGAAGGTTAAGGCTATAGGTTTGATGCAGGTTTTCTGATATTGAGTTTTGACAGGTAGTTTGGTTTAAGGTTACAGGCTTGAGCAGTTTGTTTTCTGGTTTTTTGTACTGGCTTGAATACTTGAGGCTTTGGCTTCAGGCTTTTGACACAGTTTGGAGCTTGACAGGCTTCAGGACTTATGTTATGTTTGCTTTTGGTTTGAG